CTTGTGACCTCGATTTGGGGCTCTAAACATTGGATCTGACTACTTTTTGGGACGGGCTCAAACTTTCCAATAATCTCGGCCCAAAAATATTATATGTATAATAAAAAACATAATGCATATTAATAATATATGTAATAATAAAGTCACTAGTGAAAAAAGTATTACATAATATAATATAATATTAATAACATATAATTAAAATAATATAAAATATCTGTTAAGATTAAGCTTTGGGCTTAGGCTCAAGATCTAGATCCGATGGTTGGGGTGGGTTCGAGTTTGGGCCTAGTCATATTTTGTTTATAAAGAGGCAAAGTCTGACCCAAACTTTGCCCAATTTGACCCATGAATAGATTTACTCGTGAATCAAGACTCCCGAGATAACTAATGTGCATAGTAAAGAGGTAGAACCTCGCCAATGTGCATGGTAAGATTTATGATAAATGGCAAAACTAATGCATTAAGAAGCATAACAATGCAACCTTGCGAGGCCGAAGAGAGACAACTTACGGAACCTCACAAGAGTGGTAATCAAACCTCACGAGGATAGACCAACTTGATCTTGTGAATCAAGCCTTATGAGGCTAAACTAGTTTCACTTTGTGAGGGAAACCAAGTCCTATTAACCAGACCTCACAAGACTGGATCAGGAGCACAAAGTGTGGAGGTTACTTTAAGGGTTTTAGGCGAATGATCAATGCCCTAGGGAAAACCACGATTGGTTGTACCTGGTCATGAGCTACATATATCTCAAGGGGAGAAGTGGACGAAATTTGTTCTCAAACATTACTTGAAGTAGAGAATATTCTAGAATTCTTGCTTCATGCAACATAGCCCGTTCCCTTACTTCTATAAATAGGGGAGTCACCTTTTGTGAAGAGGATTTGAATTCATTATATTTCTGATTTAGTCTTATTCTCCTTTCCCTGGTGATATCTTATGATTCGCTTCCAAGATCTAAGTCCATCCTTATCTCTATTGATTTACAAAGGATAATTGGTAGTTTGTATGTTTTACATGTTTTAATCAAATAATTGAAAAATCTAATGTTCTTTTAGTTGTTTATTGCTTATATATAATAGGAAATTAGATGCAAGTCTAGACCCAACCCACTAAACTAACCCACCCATCCTCAAATACAAAGAAGGTAGGGCCGGGGAAGGTTTTAAAGTTTCATATAAAGGGAGGTTTGGATTTTGGAAATCCAACCCATTATGCATTTTGGGAAGATACATGTTGAAAGGTTTAGGGAGACCAATAAAGCCATGGGTCAAGAATTTACGAAACCCTTACAGAGCGTGCCTCATACTAACCTCATGGTTGTGCATTTGGAACATCTCCGTGCTTGTAAATTTTTATTCATAGGAGACATTCTAGATGCATGGTCATAATGTATTGTGCGGTCACTGCGAGGAGCATATCCTGTCCCATTGCGAGTTCACATCTACGTCCCATAGAGCATGCCCCAAAAATGCCCCATATGCATGTCTCAACACCCCATTGAAAATATCACCTACTGACAAGTACGAGAGATTCTCTATGGGCCATTTTTAGGGAGACCGTATCTGCTCCTACGTAGGGCACCTCACACTGACCTATAAGCACATCTCACCATGCATTGGGAACATCTCCTGCACTTATACATTGACCCCAACCCATTTGACCCACCCAACCCACCCACCTCGAAACCTACCCATACCCACCTAGGGGTGCAAATGGATCGGATCATGATCCGATCTGATCCAAGATTCAATCCTATTTGGTCGAATTTGGATCACTACCTATTTGGATCTTTGGATTGGATCGGATTGGATAATATGATTCAATCAAAAATTGGATCGAATTTGGATCACCTCCTATTCGACTTGAGAAGATCTGATCCGATGTATATTATATATTTATAAATATAAATATATATATTACATATATGTTATTTATTTATAAATATATTTTTTATATTATATTTTTATAAATTTATTATATTATTTATTTTTTATAAAAACATGTGTATATATGATGAAAATAATTAAAAAATACTTGTATTTTTTGTTTTTATTTTATTTAAATTAGTATATATTAATTTTCTTTTAATAATTTATTATTTTTTAAAGAAAGGGTAAATTACAAAGACCCTCCTGTACTATGACCATGAGACAAGACCCCCTTCCGTTAGCATTCCGTTGAAATCTTTCATTGCAATATTTTTTAATCCCCGTACTACCCTTGGGAGAAAAACACTATTCATCTTCCCCAACCTCACGATACACGAACAACAATGGTGGCAAACTTCCGAAGTCCTCCCTCTCTCTGTCAGGAGATGAAAACCAGAAACATTTTATGAAGAAAATGTTCAACTTCTAGGGCATTCTCTTTTTTTCTTGATCCGCAACCACAATGAAAGTTGTGCTTTTTAGAACCAGTTTGGCTCTGTTTCAAGCATCTGTCATTCTTAGTTCAACGATGACTGAAGGGATGAGAGATCCATCATATGGATGGCCGAACCCTACAGGTAGGTTGGGCAAAATTTCAAAAATTTCTCTCTCCCATGTGGGAATCACATTCCTTATTTTAGGAAACTGCATTTTCAATGATCAATCTTGAACCCTAAACCATACCAGATCTGAAACCAAAAGGTAGGAGAGGGATATACCCGATACAGAGTAGTAGTAACTCCCAATGAAGGTGTTCACGCCCAAGGAGATCTCCAAAGACTGCTCCCACTGAAGATGACACAGTGTAGGGTGGAGCAAAATCAGTAGGGTGGTCCTTCAGCAAGAACATGATTCTTCACCAAGAATCTGATGGAGGGTGAGTGAGCACGACTTCAAATCAGTTTTTCTCCAAAAACTGATATCAAGAACCTTTCTTGATCGCTCCTACAGGTGGAGATCGAACTGGCTATGGCGGCAACAGTAGGAGAAGGCAAGAGCAAAAGATGGCATTAGTCTAATTGGAGTTGTCTTCTCTCTTGTATCAGAAATCTGATAGGTGTACTGGGGTTCGCCCTTCTCCTCTATTTATAGCCTTAAAGAGAGGTTCTCCTAATCCCATTAGAAGTTTCCTAATCCAAATCTTGTATTTGGATCTGGACTCTCTTTAAGARATAAGGATAATCMYTTATYTTATCTRCAGATAAAGATCAACCCTCCTAATCTTATTAGGAGTTTCCTAATCCAAATCTTTATTTG